AAATATTATCAATTCTACTAAATAAAAAATTTATACTATCTATTTGTCGAACGGGAGGGAAATATGAAAAGACGAATACTCGGATTCCAGATGGCACACCATCGATACAATCGTGAGTGATTGCAAGCTCCCCCATGGAAAATCATGGTAGAAGGCTTAAATATCAATGGTAAATAGATAACTAACTATCGAGATTAACTTAAATTGAATATATACATACATACTCCTTCCAAGGCAAATGTAAAAATTCCTCTTGCAAGCATCTATGGTCGAGTCATCGTCCAATGGGGCTATCAAAACTCTGGCCGCTTTAACTTATTCTGGGATGAACATCTCCCTGCAAATGCCTACCTTACAAACAATATGCTCAACCTGTAACCTGTGCGTTGACCTTTGAATACCCAACGGATGATGAACGAGTTTAAGAAATCAAAGCCTGGGAAGTCCTCATGAGGAAGTTCCGATGTGCAAATGATAGCATTAGATATACTACTTTTGTTGAATCACTCAATTTGTCAAACTCGTAATCGAAGTGAGAGGACCATAACAACCCTAATATTAATAATAATTCAAATTACCAAGTTTTTTATAATTGTTACCAAATTATTAAAGACGGAAAGGGAACAACAGAGTAAACTGCGTATCTTTTATTTGATGAAAGAAAATAATACTTTGAATAAAAATATATAGATATTTTTTTTGATTTAATTTAAACATAATACATTATTATTATTATTATTATTATTATTACTACTACCAGTAATATTCTATCATTATTCAAAAAAATTTTTAACCAGATATAACATGAGCTATATTATTTTATCATAAACATAAACATAAACATAAAAACAACAATAATAAATAGCATCAGTATTAATATGCGTTTTTGTTTTCAAAAAATTAAAATTAAAAAAAAAATAGATTACTTACATCGTAAAGGACATACAACAGTTGATCTATCATCCACAATAACTTCATGTATCTTACGTTTAAACTGATACCTAATTCTTAATTTCTTTTTCTCTCCCATACATGGATCATAAAAACCTAAAATATTGGACTTTTTTCCCATAATGAAAATAATGGTTGAATTATATTTTATTTTATTTTGTATTAGATTAAATAAATAAATAATTGATTTAATTACCTTTGAGTAGCCACCTGGTATAGATAATTGTGATTCGTGTACCAAAGCTTGTACAGGTATTCTCACATCAAAAACATCTTTACGTGCACTCGACGACGATGATGATGATGACCCATTGCCATCACCACCATCACCACCACTACTAACAAAATTATCACCCCTCGCGATAACACTAGCATCGCCATCAGACAAATTGCCATACCAAGCTTCCAAAATTATCAAACCATCCTTTGCATGTTCTGTTTCAATTTTTCTTTCGACAGATGGCTTCATCAAACGAATTGCTTCTTCTGCTTCTTGTCTACGACTTTGTATATATTCGGAATGACGTTGTCTTAATGCTGCTATTTTCCTAAAATGTTATGTTAATGCTTGGTTAGTTGGTTGATTGATTATAGTGATGATATATTATGATTGTTACTATGTATTATGTAATTGTAGTAATGAAATGATGATAAACACTCACTCTGCCATTATTCTTTTACGTCTTGGTTTTAATATAACTTGTTCCGTGAAAACGATTGAAACGACTGGGACTAAAGTGCCAAATAAAATAAATCTAAAATCCAAATCAGAAGTTACATGTACTGGAATGGAAATTTTTTGTCCTAAACGATTAAACCTTTTTTTTCAAAATAACCCCCCAGAAAAGGCAACACAATTAATAAATATAAAAATTTATTCCGAATACTTTTTTTAATTTTTATGAAACAATCAATCAATTTACCTGCATCTAAAAATAATTCCAGTAGGAATTCCAAAATCGATAGCTAAAGCAACTTTTGTGTTATTGGTAACTTTTCTTTCACCCATTATAGTATTTGTCAGGCCACTTGATGTAGATAAAGTTGTTGAAACTCTTAACTGATAATCATCAAATACTTTCATGTTATAATTAGCAGAAAGATGTGATTGCGTTATTCCAGTCTAAAATAATTAATAAATTATAAAATCAATAAATATATACAACAATTTATTTTTTATGCAAATAATGCATGTGCATACTTGTAATTCCAATCCATAACCAGTTTTACTATCGTTTGCTCCATGCCAAGCCAAACAAATATCATTTTATTAGGATCAGCATTCATACATTTATATGCTAAACCATGTAAAATCTTGGCAGTATTAGTATTGTTATTCCCATACACAATTTTTTTATAGGGATTAAAATTGTGAAGCAAAAATTTTAAAGATTCATTGTGAATAAGAATTTAGTAATTCGTTGAAACAAAGATTACAAAGAGAAATTAATTTATTGGATTTCAGATATTAGATTCGAGGTGTGACAAGAAAGAAAGCAAATAAGTGGTAGCATATATCCAACATAATCATCCTAAAAAAGAAATTCAGCTACCCAAAACCAAACATCACGATCCTGAAACTGATTTTGAAACAATGGATTAACTTATTTATATTAATATTCATTCAAATTTCGTTGATTCATTCAGAGCCTTAACTAATATTAAGTTTTGATATCAACATTGCTACATCATACGTACAAAATTTGATATAGAATTATTATTCTCCTCTTAGTCCCAATACTAACTTTCCCACAACTAATAAACTAATAAAACAACAATATACAGGCGACTAAGCATATAAATGAAAACAAAAAATATATTTATACATCATCAGTTGTAAGTTTTCAATATCGCAGATAACAATATCGTAGCACATTAATTGGTTTATCCTTTTTAACATTTCTTCATGATACTGCAACAGCAAAATGCCCATAATAATTACAGAAGAAGCATTTTGATATCACCTCTCCATGGTGAATTCGTGCTTGGTCCGCCGAGTATAACTTTCCTGGTTCTGCAAAAACGATAGCTAAAGTAGTTTAATTGGTATTTGTTAGTAATAAAGATTTATAGTAAAAAAGAGATTTATAC